TACCCTTAGTGTACCTACAGTAAATAGAAACCAATGTGTTTCATTCAGCCCATGCATTTTGACACTCGCATCAGATTTAGCAATTTGTCTTCATTACGACCCCTTGCACTGTTACTGCCATCCTTCTCAGTGCTGTGCTCGAGCTTCGCAGCAGGAAGATTGATGGAGCTTGTGTACACTGATTTGTGACAAAAGCAGGGCACTTGAGAGCCACTGTTACCATTCTGATAGCACTAAGAGGGCTAAAAATTAGCTGCAGTAAGCCAATACTCTGCTCCCTCTTCTCCTCCTCTTCAATTAGGGTCCATGACTTGGACCTTGAAAGGCTAAGGCTGCTGTAACACTATTTTTAAACCTATTGCCTTCAGTTGATTTGTCACTTCTGAAGAGATTTAAAGTTCTGACCATGCTTATTAACAGCTACTTTTATTCTTTAGAGACACTTTGAATAGACAGGTTTTTTACCGTGACAAATGTTAAAAGATATTTTCTAAATGAATCAGCAGTGGTAAATTTAAATAACCATTTTAGTGTTTTGGATATAATTTTCAAAACTGGCTAAATGTCTGAAGAGCCCACACCACATGTGCTCATCAGGGAGAGACTAAACAGCCTCAGCACTTTAAAAGCACCAACTTATTATATATCATTATCAAGAGGATGGAGAGGTCATTTCTCACTACAGACAATTCACCCCTTCAATCATGAAGTTTCAAAGACTGTTGCTAGAATTGCACACTGAAGCCTGTAACTCTTCTCGCTCATTCTTTTGCTAAACACAGGTCTTGACACAGCAATTCCCAACAAGCTGAACTGCTCAGTGGTGGGTGCATTTTGCAGAGGCTTTCTGTGTTGGAAGCATGAATAACAAAGGCTCTGCAGCAGAGTGTTTAGAAACTGCTCAGGGCAAGAAAATATGTTCAGATCCATTTCTGGGCTGAATGTGCAAGTTAATGAACTGTAGCCTGGATTCAACAATCCTCTCCCATCAAGTTGCCCATGTACACTGGAAAGCAGACCAGGAACTATTCATGTTCAGGAAATCTCAGAATCAGCTGACACCACACAAGGGTGCAGATCCTGCATGAAATGGTTTAATTTTTATGCTTATTATAGGACCTCCACCACTCCTGCAGCTGTTTCAATAAAATCACAGCAAAATCACCAGAGTTTGTAAAACTGTCAACCAGCATTACGAGGTATCTGCAAAAACTGAGGGTAGAAAAAAACTGATAGACTATTTTTGTGAGGGTTTTTTTTTCCATAGCTCAAACTCCACTAACATTCTCCACTTCTAGCTTCTTTTTAGTAAATTAGCATTAGTAAATACGAGAAGAGAATGTGAAGTGTTAACATAGAAATTATTAGAAGACAACACACGTCCTGAAGAAGGAGGAAGTAAAAGAAGGAAAGAAGAGGATGATGTCTTCAATTATTGAAGCAGAATAAAGCCAAACCATCTGAAACTTGCACCTCACTTGGAAACACATCACTATTCTCATTCACTTGCAAAGCAAGCAGGTAGCTCTCAGGATTACCTTTCCTCCTTCAGACTGTTATTTAAATACTTCATCCTAACGAATGAAATATTTGAGAAAGTCTGTGAATTAGAACAATGCTTTTGTCTTGCTTCATGTGAGAAAGTAATGTAATCAAGTGGTCATTTTCCTCCCATTTCAGGCAGAACCAGTCCATTAATAAGAATTCACTAAAGCAAGAGACCATCCTGTATAAAATCCAGTGACATCCAATTTAAACCTTAGCAGTAAAATTCTACCTGATAACAAGCACTGAATACAAGTTACAGCACTGCAAGGCATTATAAATGTGTCAGAAAAAAATTAAGCCCTCAACTTGGGAGCTTAAAAAAAAAAAGTATTGACAATGCCACAATCAATGAAAAACCTGGGAGAAGCAATTATTTTTTACCCCCTTGTTCCAAAATGCCAAAACAAAGAAACAAACAATATCTAAAAAATATCACTGAAGCAAACAGAAAATCCCAATGATTATAAAGGGGAGTAGATTTCTGACTTCTTCATGCACCTTTTGGCTCAGGGTCTAGACATGTTTCTGCACTCCCTTTGGAACATACATACATTACATGGTAAGTGTAAGTCCTGTGACAACAGCCTGAGGTACCATTTAAAAAATCCATGTAGACACAGGTCCATACATCTAAAGACAATTAAAGGAGGAATGAAGAAGAAATGCACATCTGCCCTTGGCCACAGTACTTACTTTGCAACAGAATTCTCATTCAGCTTAGAAGAAAAGTCACTTAGATTCATCTTTCCTAAGCATGGAAGCTTTAAAAATACATATCCAGTCCTTCCTTATAATTCATGTTTCCTCTGGTACAGACAGGGACAGACAACTCCAGAATAACAACTCTGTGCCATCACAAGTGGTGGTCTGGAGACAAGCATTGGCACTACACACAACCACAGTGACAAACATCTGCTATCTTGTACCACTTCATTTTCCTAAGAGCTTTGGTGAAAGAGGTGGAAATACTGTTAACAATGAAATTTGCTAAATAAATACTGGCAGGTACTTACAGGGTATAGCATCTTTGTCAAAGACAGGCTTATTAAAAATAATTAAAAAGTTGTATCTAGGAAAGGTCTGTCAGTGGCTCACACAGACACTGGGCAAAGGGGAGGAAGGGATGCTAGGTGAAGTACTGATCACAGCTTCTCAAGGGGAGCCAAGTTTGCACTCCTTTACACCAGACAGACTCCTGGAAGAAGGATATGAAATGAAGCCGGAAGAGAAACACTGTACTACTGGGAAACCACGGCTGTCCAGGCAATTAAGGCCTCCCCAGGGGGTTAATTACACACAGACAGACAGGCATTTCAGAAAACATTCAGAAAACGTTTCTCAGTTTGAGAAAGGAACAAGCAGAGCTTGGCCAGCCTGGCTCTGGATCCCAGCCTATGTGCGGATGTGCAGCGGAACACGCCTCCCGGGAGGCAGCGACGGGCAATGCTTCAGCAGCAGCTCAAAGGGGCAACTGGACCACCAGGGCTGTGTCTCCACCAGAGTCGCGCCTCCCAGGAGGCAGCGACAGGCAGCGCTTCAGCAGCAGCAGCTCAAAGGGGCATTTGGACCACCAGGGCTGTGTCTCCACCAGAGTCCAACTCCCTTTCCCACCCACTGTTTCCAGGTGGGCTTTACAATGTGGTCATATCCACACTTCTGCAGGACACCCTGCTCCTGTGTTTCTCCTCTCTGTAGCCTGCCCTCAAATTCATTCCCCATCCACAGGCCTTGGAGCAGTGTAAGACAAAAATTTCCCTCCACTGCATCTCCAGCCCCCAAAATCTTGCAGGTTGTTATTTTTTCAAGCAAAATACAATTCAGGGGAAAGAACAGATTAATTTATATTGATGACTAAAGCAAAATTTCTGTAAGTTTTGCTGAGATCACAGAGGCAAACACGGAATCACAGAATGACTGATGTTGGAAGGAACCTGCGGAGCTCATCTAGTCCCACCCCCGCTAAAGCACGTTCATCTACAGCTGGCTGTGCAGGATCACATCCAGGCAGGTTTTGAGCATCTCCAGAGGGGGAGACTCCACAACCTCTCTGTCCAACCTGTTCTAGTGCTCTGTCACCCTCACAGAGAAGAAGTTTTTTCCTCATATTCAGGTGGCACCTCCTGTGTTTCATTTTGTGCTAACCTGTTGTCCACCAGGATTACCTGGTACTTCTCTGCAGAGCAAAGGTGACTTACAAACCCAAGATTCTCATCAATAGACATACTTCAAAATCAATGCCTCTTTCATTCCTTTTGTGATTTTCTCTGACAGTATGAACTGGAAAGCTTGAAGTTATAGGAATACATTATTATTTTACTAACTTTACAACTTAAATCCTAAAAAGGGAAAAATCCTTGTATTTCCCTCCTTTTATTTATGACATGGAATGTGTAAGAATCTACAGTGAATTATCAAGACAAAACCCCAACCCTAGTTGTATAGTAATAATCAACCCTTCTCTCCTGTGTTCTGCACTAACCAAAATAATTTGGGATTTCTGGCAAATAAAAAACTTAATGAGTATGTTAATAGATATTTTTACTACATTTTGCTGTCAGACAGTGATTGCACTGGGAACTGTTGTGTCCAGATGTTTTTTAGCTTGTATGGATTTGAAGAGCATTTCCTAGTAGGAGTGATTGATTACGTGGGACAATATGGTTCTTTTTACTTGTACCAACAGGAATCAAGAATTCCTCACTTCACAAATAGACAAAAGAATAGAGTCAAGGAACTTTTACCCAAACGAAAAAAAACCACAACATGGTGTACAGTAGTGTGAAAGAAAACACATGTGGCAAAACCAGTAGTTTACAAGTACATCACTCCATACCCAACACATGTGAACTCCTTATAAAGAGAAACATTCATCACAAGGGCCAAGGGAATGGTTTAGATACTCTTTTTTTAGAAAGCAATTTTAGAAAGCAAATAACATCCTGAAAATTGTTGTTAACAGTCCCAATAAGCAAAAGCTAAAAAATCCCCCAAAAAAACCAAATATTGCAGTGAATGTGAAAAAGTTCAAAGTTTGCTTTCATCCAAATTATCAGGTTGCACATTAGTTCCAAGATGCAAAATTTAAACCAGTTTAACATGAGAGACTAAAAGTTTTGGCATGGCTGGGGTCATTCCACATATTTTTAAAAAATATTTTGCTCTGGATATTCTAAATTTCTGTCACAAACAAAATTTAAGAGCTACAATAAAAGACTTAACTGAAGAAGATAAGAGGTGGAAAACAAGTGTTCAATTTTTGTTCAATTTTTTTCCTGCGCTTGTGAATTGCAAAATGTTTTATTTCTTTTGTATAATCAGGCAATTCCCAGCTTTTTGTGAGTCTCTTATAAATGAAGAGAAAGGAGAATACCACTCTCCTGGAACAATAAAAAGTGATTTTAGTCTACAAAAATCAGCTAACATCTTAACATGCATTTTCCACTTTAACTTACCTCTAAAAAATGTTCTGCTTGTTGTTCCCGATCCAATTTTCTTGATGTTGTGGTAATCAAACCTGTGAAAAAAAGATGATATTTGATTGTCAATACCATTGAAAAATAAGTATCTTTATCAATCTGAATACAAATTAATTTTTAAAACTCTCCAAGGGAAAAAAATCTATTTGAAGCTATATCAGACACAGATCTCTTGACATCTGTCAAGCATTTTATTTCTCAGTCCAACCATTATCACTTTCTGACCAGCAATGAATCTTTAAAAAAAAATGCTGTGAGAAAAGTAGCTGAGAAACAGTTAACTGTGTGTCTACAGTTAACATGCTACATTTATTACAGTGAATGAAAAAAACTCACTAAAGAATCACTATTTGTCGTATGATTAAGAGTTTCAATGAATCATTTGCATATGACTGAAATTCTTCTGCAAAAAACCTCATTAAAGATTTCAGAGTTCTCAAACAATTAATGGGATAGGATGCTGATTACTTCCACACCAAGAATACTTGACAAAGAAGGTTATTTCTGTAATAACTACCTGTATACATAATGATTTCCATATATAATAATTCTAATGTATTAAAGGTTTTGTTCTACAATTTCTTCCATTTGTTCCATGCTCAGACTGAGTTTTTAAAATAAAGTACCTTTTTACATGAGGATGATCAAGATATCTTTTTTTAAGGCAATGTACTTCCACGAATGATTAAACTGTTAGATTTATACCACAGAAAGAAAAGGAAACACTTCCAAAGTTCCCTTAAGAAAACTGATGCATACCTTCTAGGAACATAGCTTAGTTTTTTATTTTGTTCTTACTAGAGATTTAAACGGCAGATTTGAGTCTTCCCTCATACAAAACATTTCTTTGGATAGGAAAATGCATTATGTTATTGTTTTTTGATACATCAACTTTTCCTAGATATAAAGCTGATTTTGGAGACAATGCCCATGGGCCAATTTGTTCTCAAGAATTTGTGATCTTTAATATTACCAAGGGAAATAAGAAAATAAATTCTTCCTGGATTAACTATTCTACTTGTTGAATTAATCAGGCCAGCCAAGCATCTAAACACATCTAAATCCATGATGACGCTGAATTCTTAAAAAACCCCATCGGCAACATCTACATAAGACTTCAAGTCCCAGAAGACTTCTACCCCTACAGCTCCTTGTATGCTAACACCTTCTCCTTGGAGGAATCCATTTACCTATTTTGCTGAGAAGGGGAGAAAAATTACTTGAAGTAATAGGATGAAATAAACAAAGGGAAATGCACTCTGCTTCCAGGATTTCTGATTCGTTACAAGATACATCAGACCACAGAAGTGACAACCAAGGGGAGGTCACAGAAATTAAGGGTGGATCATTACAATTACATGGAAGAAGCTGGTGCTGGCAAAAAGCTGAAAAAACAAACTGGTATTGCCTGCATCAAGCAGTTGTAAGTGTTCAAAACTGTTACACCATATGGGAGACATCTATCTACTCACTGCATGAGTTTAAACAGAAATGACAGCACAGATGATAAATTTGTGTCATTCATGCAAGATCCCCCCATGTCTAAAAAGAACTGAAAGACACAGGCAAGTAATTCCTAATTATGAAAGACGTTCAGCCCCAATAAATTGATAAAGATTTAAAATTTGAAATATCCCTATTGATCATCTGCATGGCCACTAAGGATATTTATCGAGCACAACCTAATCACAGTACGGAATATGGTAATTTTTATATTATCTTCCACTTCCTTCACTCTTAATGTGCCATTGTGAACTCTACCTACTTTATTCTTTAAAAAGAGATCTCTAGCTGTAAATAATAGAAGGTCCCTGTCCTCACCATCTTCTTCAGGCAGAGAAATTCACATTCCTTTTGAAGACCAAGAGCTAACACTTGAAACTGAATATCATGAACTCTTAGAATGAACGGTACTTGTCTTACAGTGGTAGAACGAAAACTACTACTGCTACTACTACTGCTCCTCCTCACAAAACTACTGTTATCACAAAGGAATTTTTTATTTCCCTTTGTTGAATGTAGAGCCTTTTGACTGCAATAATTGTTAGAGTGCCTTTAGACCTGAATTTTCTTTCAAAAGAGATATATGAACACATAGCAAGTCTCTACAACAGAACTGCCTGTGTTTTAAATGTAGCAGATCTTAGATGATTTCTCACTCAGATTTAACAGCTGATCCTAAAGGGGGCAGGTAGCAGACCATCACCATCAGTTCTGCAGACCTGCTTGTGAAGTATGTTTATTATGAACCATCACAACTGCTTGTTTTTGCTTTAAAGGCAGCATACAACGCCCATTCTGGGCAGTTCCATCAGACTGTTAAATTAATGTGTAGAAATTACTGTTCCTATGCATGTGCAGTTACAAGGATTTTAGTTTCCTCTCCTGTTCTCTGTCCCACCTGGCACCCATGATGGCCTCACCCTGGCTGCTCACTGTCACATACATTCCTGATGTCAGGGACAGATCACACTGTCCAACACTACTACTCAAACTATAACTACACATAAAATCAGCTCTCAGTTACTTGATATTAATATTTATTGAATTATTGTAATGTATTAGTATGGATATGAATCTGGTTCTTTCAGGTTACAAAACTGTATTTTAAGAAATTATGAAGAGTAATCATCAAAACTGAAAAAAATAAATATGCCAGTTATGTCTAAGACTACCCACAGCTTTACCAGTCCAGTCTCAAAGAAATTAATTTCCTGGGTTTTATGAAAACCTTACTATGTTCCTTCCTCTTGTGTTCGCTACTCCATGCCACAGATACATAATAATAGCAATATTTAGCAGGATGTAGAACTTTATTTTTCAGACACTGGGGCAACTGAGAAAAACTTGACTTTGCACAAGAGACCATATCCCAGTGTTAGCTCTTATCTAACTGCATTAAATTGTCATACTCTGTTATGGTGTAAAAGCATTATCTAAAGAAAATAACTCTCAGAGAAAAATAAACCCCAGGAAATTATGTTAGGCTGTGCTCCTGCCTATGAGAAAGTCACAAGGGGACAATGATAAAAGATGACCCTTCTTTTTTTTCCTATCTTCAATATGTGCTGTAGTCCTTATGGACACCGCCATATGGACAACCCTCCAAAGCCAGCTGGGAAATACAGCACACATTTATAAAAAAATAGTCAAAACCACTAACAAGCTTCAAAAGTTGTTGCACACCTCTCAAAGAGCTTCTCTCAAATTTGCAGGGAAACATCATGGTCCTGCTAAGGGCAGGAGGTATTTATAACTGTGATCTTTAAGAACATCCACAGAAGTGAAGAGGAAAATTGTATTCACTAGAGAAGTTATTAACAGTAACACCATCCATGAACAAACAAGGTTATGTCATTCTCTTCACAAAATTTCATACTTTTCTTTGATTTTGTGAGTTAAAACATCTCTCTCTTCATCCTGGCACATCTGTTCCTCAGACCACATAAATGAGTTGTTTTGGGAAATTCCAAAACACTGTTTGACCAAATATTTTACCTTTGAGATAACTTGCTATATAACACCCTGGAGGTCTTATACAACTTCTTTTCCTATGATACCTTCCACACTTGCTGTTGGAGTAGTTTTCCCATCTTAACAAATGAATAATTATTGTTCTAACTCCTGTTACAGAGTCTGGAAATGCTGGAAGGTGAACATGCTCACTCTACATGTCCTGTAGTACTGCAGTACACAGTCACAAGTCTCAGCTGACACTGACAGGGGAACATCCTACCAAAACCTCACTGGATAAGACACTTTACAGTGTGTCCCAAATCAGTCATGTGTAAAAGGAAATTCAGCATGTAGATGGAGAAGAAATAGCAATGTTCTTCATCTCATCACTTTATAATGTGGATGGGGAAACCAGAGGTGTAGGGTGGGTAAAAAAGCAGACTTGCCTCAGTGCTTATATGCAGCCTTAGTGACACAGAAGCAAGAGCAGGACCAATGCAAAGAAATCCTGACAGTTTAGCCAATACATCAGCCTATACAATCTTCAGCCAATGCATCATCTTACAAACCACCAGTTCTAAGGGCTCAGATATGTGATCGAGACATTTGAACACTTACCTCTGATGCCTGGGATACTGCTTTTAGCACATTGAGATGTGCTAAAGAAGGACAAAGTTCAGTGAAAGACCAAAACCCACCTGAGATACTTTGCAACTGCAATTAGTAAAGCCTGCAGTTACTAGAGTGCAAATGAAGAAATATAACTAATCAGCAAACAGTAGCTTGGTGATAGGTCTGATGTCACAGGAGTAAATGCCAGGCACATGTGAGGATGAATGCAGACGTGTCTGTATCATTGAACATGACACAATATCAGCAATAGTTACAAATTCAACAACATGACTAATGCTTTATAATTTTAGAAGTTTGTTTTTGTTTTTAGAATTTGATCAAAATGAAGGATTTAATCTTTGTTCTACCTTCAGTTAGCTCTCGTTTCACAGAAGGGTGCTCATAGAAATAAAACCTCTGTGTGCCTGTGTGTGCTGAAGTAGACAGGCAGTGCTATGCAAATACATATACTGTATGTACAGTCAAATATTAGACTATGTATATGCATGTGTGTGACATTTTGCATTTACCCCAAAAGTTGAATATTAAAAGTTATCCCAAAACGCACATATTTACAGAGGTATATTTAGCTCTAAGGTTTCATTCTTTCCATATATATGCATTATTTGTTGGAATTAATTAATCCACATTTCTTCTTTGGACTTAGCCACAGAAGAAAAATTCACAAAGGGCTGTTAAGTGCAAAGGCTATGACAGAGGAAATCTTGAAGCACTGGAGAGTTTGAACAGTATTACACAGAGGCAGGCACTCCTCTGGGTTTGCTCCTTCTGATGCTTATTCTGTACACATCCAGAACAGCCCACAGCTCTAGGTGTGATAGTAACTAAACTGACCCTTGACTTAGAAGAAATTCACATATTTTTCAGTACTGTGGCACTCAGGGACCAAAAATTACTTTGCTACAGGCTATATTCAGACAGAGATTGAATTTCCCTAATATGGCTCTGA